CATGATCTTTGACAACATGTCAGATCCATTAACTCAGTGAATAACAATTCACAAAAAAACATACAAACTAGTTTGTTTAGCATTATGAATATCTTTTTATTTTCCTATGTTGAAAGAATCCTTACCTCTTTGTGTGTGTTTGCTCTCTTTGTATACATATTTTTTATTTTAGATTCAGGAGGGTACATGTACATGTTTTGTTACATGAATATATTGCATAATGGTGGGATCTGGGCTTCTAGTGTATTTATTGCTGTCTTGGTACAGACTTCTCCTCTCTCTGATGGTGTCAGCTACCCTTTACAGTATCACAGCATTGCACATATTTTTCCATAGATGTTCTGATCACATCTATGAACATCTGTGAAGAGACTCCTCTTTCTGAGTGCACTTTGTAAAGTGACTGACGTATTATTGCTAGTGTCAAAGGGATGAACAACCAAACGACAACAAAACGAAATCATAGGGTTATGTGGAAGAATTTGTAATCTCAATTTTCAAAGCAGATTAAAAATTATAAAATTTTCACACTACTAAAAAAAGTGACTACTGTATTTGCCCATGTGTTTACTCCTTGATGTTTTACTGGATACCTACTGTGTGCCTGGAAGCTAATCATTGGGATTTGAGGATGTATGTGATAGACACAGTTCAGTTAAAGGAGAGGATCATATTAGCAAATGATGACTGTGAAATGTGATAGGTAGATAATACAGATGTATGCTAATATCACAGGAATAGAAAAAGCAAGAATAGTGCATCCTGTGTAGAAGTCAGGAAAGGTTTCAAAAAGAAAGTAATTTTTGAACTTGGTCTTTAAGAGGGTATAATGAATGTGGAAAAGCCTTTATATAAAGCTCACACCTTAGAGATGTCAAGTTGTATATTGTAATTTTTAAGGGAAAATTAATAAAAATAAAAAGAGAAACCTCAGAGAAAAAGGAAAAAATTCAATGTTTGAATTTTAATATATCTAAATCCCGACAAATACAATGGTCACCCACAAATTGTTATACTCATCACTTAAAAGAAAAATAAACTGATTATTCTTTCAAAACTTGAATCCACTGACATTTTTGCTCAGATGAACAGCCTGTTTTTGTTATTGTTTATGTCTGTTTGACAAAGATGTAAATAACATGAATATATCATAACTTTTTCTAGTTTTATTAAAAATGAGATTAGTGAAAATGCTATATTACTGGCATTGAATATGAACTTCTGTTTTTTCCACACTAGTGAAGCAGTTACCATCTACTATTCTGCCAGTCTTTCCCCATGTGTTTTTCTATTGGATATACTTCCAAGAGTCACAATAATAGTGAGTCGCCATTTAAAAAAAAAAAAAAAAAAAAACTTTTTAAAAAGCCTGTCCTTTTTCCTTACTCATTGCACTAGAATGAGTTTGCAATTTTATTGGGAAATTTACAATATCTTTCCCTATAATGATATAAAAATGAAAAGTTGAATAGGCAGGATACGAACTGTTTCCTGTGCAAGATAAATCTCCTTGGAAGATGTGCATATCAACAATAGATTTTTGTGACATAGTTGGTTAATATATAAGCTCACATCAGACTGATGTGAGCTATGCAAACACCATAATATTGTCTTGCTGTTGTACTGCATTTTCTTTTTTAGATTTCAAAGTTACAGCACATAGATTATCTCTTTTCCTTTCCTTTAATGCCTCATGAGATGAAAGACCTGAGTTTAAGTATGATTTCATGATTTTCCCAAGAATACAACATACCTAGTAAAGGAGATGGTTAGGACTAATCTTCCATTTCTGACTACTGGTTAACTGACCTGTGAACAAAATAGCATTTGTCTGTTGCAGACTGGTCTATATTTAAATTTAATTTTCAGCAACAAATTTTATGAATTATTGGTGTAAATTTATGCATGGTGATCTGACCAGAGTTGTTTATAACATTTTATTTAATTTGATTTCTGCCTGAGCATTATGATGATCCAACTTTTTACCTAACCCTATACTCTATAGATACCAACAATTAGAAAGAAAGTCGGTTTTAAATCCAAACTAAACTAGTTGCAAAATATGAAACAGTAAATGGTAGAAACAAAAGCTTGGGATATTTTAAGGAGTATTTTATGTAAGTTACAGCAACCAGGGGGCAGTAAAATTGATGCATTGATGCTAACATACCAAACTAGTGTGGCAATTACAGTTCTATTTGGAAATAGCACATACATGCTGAAGTAGAAACTTACGACTTTAAACAAAATTTATGTACATTTGTACTGTTTATTTTGTGTCATTTCCTGCAAGAAAATATATTTATAGATGATAGGCATAGATTGTTTTTACTCAAGTAGATACACATTAACTATAAAGTGTTTGTCCCAGAAAATAACTTTCAAAATATGTGTCAAAATTACATGTATTTACAGTTTTTCTATTCCAAATATTTTGCATTTTTCTCAATACAGAGATTTATGTCACTAACTCTACTCTTTCAGATTGGTGACAGGTATCTGAAACTCAAATTTCCATGGGTACCAGACAAGTTTTGTTGCTTTTTTTTTTTTAAATGTCAACTTGCTCTTAAATATTAGCAAATAATAGTGATGGTGGCCAACTAAAAGGTATATGCCCAACTAAAAGCCAGACTCTGCCATGTTGGAATATGAACACAGTGTTACCATGTCTTCAGAGTTTTTAAAAGCAGAAAGAATTTTTTATTTTTGTAGATGTTACCTAATTCAAAACTTTAAAATCACTGTGTGGGCCAAAAAAAGCATGTCTCTAGGCCACAGCGGGCATGTAGGCCTCTAGGCGGAGACATGATTCTATAGAAATGATCACGGTGCCCCTCAGAGGGACGTTGGTTCTGATCAGGTGCGCATTCTCCTTTGCTACTTCACTGTCTGTTTAATTGGTACTTCCTATTTCTCAGCGTGTGCATGACAAAGCCATAAAATATTCCCATTATATGCCTAATAGATGGAAAGACTTGTCACAGATGTAAAGAGCTGTCATTAGTGCCCATGCATTTTTTTTTATATCTGCAGTGGTCAATGATTGTTATTGCTCTCTCCAGCACAATGCTATTGGTAGCCTCAAATAAAACTTGATTATGCAAGGCATCTTGTTATATGGAATTCTGATTCTTTGAACTTGAAGCAATGAATATGGATTATTCATTTTCTATGCTCCTTCTCAAGAAACTAAAGCATTTTGTTCATTGTTCTATCCTCAATTTTGAGAAAATTCCTCGCAAGTAGGTGTTTGAATAGAATTAATGTATTACTGAAAGTTTGCTATCTTATTCATGTGTACTCTCCTCACTTATTCATTATGTGAACTTTTCCTTAGCACAAACTGTGTGTTAAACATGTTACCAAATATCATTTGAAATATGTGGATTATTAACTAGGCCTAGGAAGCATTCTGCTTGGAAAAGAAATTACAGTGGTCTTCAATTTAATGAGATACAATCTACCTTTAAAAGTGTAAGTCCATATTTTGTCTTTGTTTTTATGTAGGACTTCTAGGAAGCCCTCAACTTTCTTTTTCTTAATTCTCCTTCCTAGAAAAGCATAATAAGATCAGATTATACTATAACATCTCTAACTACATGACTAACTGCTCCTTGGTTGATGAGACTTTAAACCCTGTATAACAAATACCCTCGAGGGGAAAAGTCTCATACATCTACTGGCATTAATTTTATACTTATTATTAGTTTAAGAGATTGGGATTTGATAGTATAAAGTTTTTTAACTTACTGCAAAAAACATTTTAGTAATACTATTTTAATTAATAATGATAATATACCCTTGCTCACTTGACTATTCTGTACTAAGACAAATTTTTAAAAGTCAAATCTCAAAAATAGTATTTATTATTCATTTGGATATCAAGATAAAAGTGAAGTCCCACCTTCAGGCACATTCAAAAACATGTTATTGTAAAGAGTCATCTGTCTGTATCCTTATTTTCGGATGTTAAGATTTTTAGCAGTATGCTAACTGCTTCATCATATCAATCAATCAATCAATCAATCAATCAATCAATCATATACTTGTGTCAGCATCACATTCTGTAGTAAAAGCAGGACTGGATCACCAAAATTAATAAGAGCTCTGAGTTTGCAATTCATTCAGGGTCAACCGTTCTAACTTAACCAAAATCAAGAGTAGTTCCACATGTGAAGATAGGGAGACATAAACTAGCGTAATAATCTATATTGGATACATTTAATGGTTATATTCTTCAATGGAACTCTGGATATGTCATCATACTGGATGACCAATTTGAAGACTAGTATGTCTTTTTGTAACATAAAAATGTGACTTGTAAACAACAACAAAAATACATATATATTTTTTCAGGCTCATCTTTCTCATACTTGGTAATGCATCATTAACATTTTTGCTTGCTAAGGGTAGCAGGCAGAATAATGGTCTCCAGATATAACTAAGTCCCAATCCCCAGAATTTGTGAATACATTAAATTACATGGCAAAGGAGAATTAAGATGCAGATGGAATGAAGGCTGCTAATTAGATGATTTTATGACGATGAGATAATATTCACTTACCTGGATTGGTCCAATGTAATCATAAGGGTCCTTAAAAGTGGAAGACAGTATCAGATAGATGGCAGTATGAGAAGTTCTCGGTCTGATAGAGGCAAGGGCCGTTAGCCCAGGAAAGTGGGCAGCCTCTAGAAGCTGCAAAAGGCAAAGGAATGGATTGTCCCCTCCAGCTTGCAGAACAGAATGCATACTTTCTGATACCGGCCAACACCCAGGAAGACTCATTCAGGGCTTCTGACCTATAGAAGTATAAGATCCTAAGATTATGCTGTTTTAAGCCACTAAACTTGTGGTAATTTGTTATAGCAGCCAAGAAAACTAATATACTAAAGAATCTCATTTTTTTTCCAGAAATTGTCACTGAAATTGCACAAATGAAAAAAGTTAAAATTTTTACTTTTCTTAAGGCATTGTCTGTCTGTCTGTTTGCTTTCAGGAGGCAATTCATAGCAGCCAGGTTGGCACTTCAAAAAGCAGCCAGGAAATGGCAAGAAATGAACAAGAAGGGTCCAAAGTACCGAAAATTGATGTTCATGGAACAGAAATGGTAACTATTTAGAAGGCAGTACTTTCAAACACTTTCCAGTACTGTATGGAAATTATGACTTTGTTGTAAGCGTTTGTATTTATTGTTACTTATGTATCTAGTATCAATACCTATCAGTGTTTCTTTCTCTACTTTCAAGTTGAAATTATTTTAAAAGTAAAATAGGGCCGGGTGTGGTGGCTCACACCTGTAATCCCAACACTTTGGGAGGCCGAGGCAGGCAGATCATGAGGTCAGGTGTTCGAGAGCAGTCTGGCCAACGTAGTGAAACCCCATCTCTACTAAAAATACAAAAAAACTTAGCCAGATGTGCTGGTATGTGCCTGTAATCCCAGCTACTCAGGAGGCTGAGGCAGGAGAATCACGTGAACCCAGGAGGCGAAGGTTGCAGTGAGCCGAGTTCGCGCCATTGCACTCCAGCCCAGGTGACAGTGCGAGACTCCATCTCAGAAAATAAATAAATAAGTAAATGTAAAATAGGCACCCTATAAAAGTATGATTGCACTTTAGACATCAATTCAAATATATTTTGTTATAAGTGAATCTATGTATTAAAATAAATGATAGAGGCTTAATTGGCATCTTTCAATGTACACTAAAGTATTGGGTGAAAATCACTGTAAAATGAAGAGTAGTATTTGTAAATGATAATACTTCTTAAGATAATTGACTTCTTAAAAAACAATTTATTTTCAAATTATCTTTAAATACAGGTCTCTCATCTTGAAAAGCACACCAAGGAAATAAACCAAGCATCTCAGTTTCATCAATATGTTCAGGAAACAGGTAAGAGTCTGGCATTATTGGCTTCAATACTCCTTCCTCCTATTGATGTGTTTGAGTTTGAATGGATGACTTCCAAAGCACAATCCTCCCCTCTGAATAACTTTAGTAACTATGACTCATGGTTCCAGGGAATGCCGAATAGGATTTCTACAAATAATTAGATTTTGCCTGTGGGCATAGGTGCAATAAGTTTCTAAATTAGTTTATTGGCCATCAATCCTATGATATATCCATTCTAAACCTTAAAGCTAATCACCTCTGAATTCCTTTTTGCCTCAGCGACCTACAGTAAAATTTGATGTTTATCAAGCTCCCTGAGAATAGAGTTGTTATCTAGACTGAATTAATTTTAATAACAGATTTAAGCACTATTAAGTCCAGCTCTCCAATCTGTAGATATGAGATTAGACTACAGCCAAATTTGTGCAAGTTTGCACAAGACTGGACATAGTTTGTCTTGTCTATAAAAATGGAATGAGCTTTGCTACCCTGAAGAGCTAAAAAAAAAAAAAAAAAAAAATTTAAGCCAGCTGTGACCAAAACTTTACTTGATTACATGACTATATCTTTATTTTGGTTTTATACATTTTATTGTTTTTTCCTGAGCATAAAAGTAGAACATGCTTGTAGAAAATTTGGAAAATTCAGAGATAACCAACATTTTTCTTCCTGTATTGTCTTACTATAGTTCTTCCTATATTCCTAAATTACATAATGAAATAATGCCATATGTATGCTTGTACCTTGAATCTTTTTACTTAATGTACATTGTGAGAAGTTTCCCATAGCATTATAATTTTATCTTTTTTAATTTTTGTAGAGACAGGGTCTGGCTATGATGCCCAGGCTGGTCTCACACTCTTGGGCTCAAGTAATCTTTGCACCTCAGCCTCCCAAAGTATTGGGATTACAGGCATGCCCAGCTGTAATTTCTTCTTAAACATAATTTTTAGTAATTACATAGTATCCCTGGTGTATTTTTCTGTTTATAGTCATTGATACACCTGAGGATGAAGAAATTCCAAAGGTTTCGACTAAGTTGTTAAAAGAGCAGTTTGAAAAGTCTGCCCAGGAAAAGATCCTTTACTGTGACAAAGAGATGACAACTCCAGCAAAGCAGATTAAGGTAAAGTCATTTCTTTACACAGAAACATATTAAGTGTAAGATCAAGCTTAAATGTATAACATTTTCAAATTATTGAAATTTGAAGTGGCTTTTCAACAAAAAAAAATTCTGAACTAGCATTTATTCAGTTCTATAAGAAGAATATTGATCTGCATGCAAAAGGAGGTAGAGTAAAAACTTTTCTCACTAGAGGAAAATAAGGGAAGAAAAAATTATGTATGTTCTAAAGTCTAATAATTAACATTAAAGTAATTAAATCAATTTTAAATGCCAGATGCTTACTCTGTTCTGTTTTAAATTCCAAGGAAAACAAAACAACCCTCAAAAGTACTTTAAGACTTTTACCGTTTCCCTCTAGATTACTCTGCATACTACATTAAGTAAAGGGAAAAAAAATCACAATTATGTGTAAATTTTAAAATATTGAGTCCTTGATGCATTGAATGGCAAATATAACATTACAAGTAAAAATGGATTATAGGAAAGATAGTGACAAATATTGACTATTATTCCTAAGTAGGCTCTAAATGAGTACATCACATATTGTTCCCAATGGAGATATCATAGGAGGGTCCAGGTTACAGACCAATGAAAGGCAGTGCCTAGGAAGCCTCTGCCACTACACTCACCTTTATAAGATTTGATTTTCTCTCCCCTAAAGATTGAAAGTGAATGTGAAGAGACTTTAAAGCCATCGTCAGTTGTGAGTACCTCTTCCACTTCTTGCATTTCAACCAGCCAGAGGAAGGAAACATCAACCACAAGATATAGTGATCACAGTGTCACTTCCTCAACTCTGGCACAAATTAATGCTACTTCATCAGGAGTGACAGAAGAATTTCCTCCTCCCCCACCTGATGTACTTCAAACTTCAGTAGATGCGACAGCATTTTCCCAGTCCCCTGAACTACCCAGTCCTCCTAGAAGACTACCAGTCCCCAAAGATGTATATTCCAAGCAAAGAAATTTGTATGAATTAAACCGTTTATATAAACACATCCATCCTGAGTTAAGAAAAAACTTAGAAAAAGATTATATCAGTGAGGTTTCTGAGATTGTTTCTAGTCAAATGAACTCAGGGAGTTCAGTCTCAGCAGATGTGCAACAAGCCCGTTATGTTTTTGAAAACACAAATGACAGTTCTCAAAAAGAGCTGAACTCAGAAAGAGAATACTTGGAATGGGATGAAATTCTGAAGGGAGAGGTGCAGTCCATTAGATGGATCTTTGAGAATCAACCATTGGATTCCATTAACAATGGCTCTCCTGATGAAGGTGACGTTTCCAGGGGTGTTGCTGATCAAGAAATCATTGCTGGTGGCGATGTGAAATATACTACCTGGATGTTTGAAACCCAACCCATTGACACACTTGGGGCTCATTCTTCTGACACTGTAGAAAATGCAGAGAAAATTCCTGAGCTAGCCAGAGGAGATGTCTGCACAGCTCGGTGGATGTTTGAAACAAGGCCATTGGACTCAATGAATAAAATGCATCAAAGTCAAGAAGAATCAGCGGTAACTATCAGTAAGGACATAACTGGGGGGGATGTCAAGACTGTGAGATACATGTTTGAAACTCAACATCTAGATCAACTTGGACAGCTTCATTCAGTAGATGAGGTTCACTTACTGCAGCTTAGGTCTGAGCTCAAAGAAATTAAGGGAAATGTTAAGAGAAGTATAAAATGTTTTGAAACTCAACCATTATATGTTATTAGAGATGGTTCAGGTCAAATGCTAGAAATTAAAACTGTTCACAGGGAAGATGTTGAAAAGGGAGATGTAAGAACAGCACGGTGGATGTTTGAAACACAGCCATTGGACACAATTAACAAAGATATCACAGAAATTAAAATTGTCCGAGGAATATCCATGGAAGAAAATGTCAAAGGTGGGGTAAGTAAGGCAAAGTGGTTATTTGAAACCCAACCTTTGGAGAAAATCAAAGAGTCAGAAGAGGTCATCATTGAAAAGGAAACAATAATAGGTACAGATGTCTCCAGAAAGTGCTGGATGTTTGAAACACAGCCATTAGACATTCTAAAAGAAGTTCCTGATGCAGATCCTCTACAACATGAGGAGATAATAGGGGGTGATGTACAAACTACTAAGCATCTATTTGAAACACTTCCAATTGAGGCATTAAAAGACAGTCCTGATATAGGAAAGCTTCAAAAAATCACTGCCTCTGAAGAAGAAAAAGGGGATGTTAGGCATCAAAAATGGATTTTTGAAACCCAACCTCTGGAAGACATTAGAAAAGATAAAAAGGAGTACACACGAACAGTGAAACTTGAAGAAGTTGACAGAGGAGATGTGAAGAACTACACACATATCTTTGAATCAAACAATTTAATTAAATTTGATGCATCACATAAAATAGAGGTGGAAGGAGTCACAAGAGGTGCTGTAGAGTTAAATAAATCTCTTTTCGAGACAACACCACTGTATGCCATTCAAGATCCCCTTGGAAAATACCATCAAGTAAAGACAGTCCAGCAAGAAGAAATCATAAGAGGTGATGTAAGAAGCTGTAGGTGGCTTTTTGAAACAAGGCCCATTGACCAGTTTGATGAAAGCATTCATAAATTTCAAATAATTAGAGGAATATCTGCTCAAGAAATACAGACTGGAAATGTGAAATCTGCCAAATGGTTGTTTGAAACCCAACCTCTTGATACAATTAAATATTTTAGTGATGTGGAAGAAACAGAAAGTAAAACTGAACAAGCTAGAGATATTATTAAAGGGGATGTCAAAACCTGTAAATGGCTTTTTGAGACCCAGCCAATGGAGTCTCTTTATGAAAAAGTTTCGTTAATGACCAGCAGTGAAGAAATTCATAAGGGAGATGTCAAAACCTGTACTTGGCTCTTTGAAACTCAGCCACTTGATGCCATAAAAGATGACTCTGAAACAACAGTCAAATTGCAAACTGTAAAACAGGAGATCCAAGGTGGGGATGTTCGTACAGCATGTTTTCTTTTTGAGACAGAAAATTTGGACAGCATACAAGGAGAAGAAGTGAAGGAAATCAAGCCTGTTGAAATGGATATACAAGCTGGAGATGTTTCTAGCATGAGGTATAAATTTGAAAATCAGTCCTTAGATTCTATAAGTTCCAGTTCAGAGGAAGTTTTGAAAAAGATCAAAACCTTAAAAACTGAAGAGATTCAGAAAGGCAATGTTTTAAATTGTAGGTGGCTTTTTGAAAACCAACCAATTGATAAGATAAAAGAAAGCCAAGAAGGTGATGAATGTGTTAAGACAGTGACAGACATACAAGGTGGCGATGTAAGAAAGGGGTGCTTTATTTTTGAGACTTTTTCTTTAGATGAGATTAAAGAAGAATCTGACTATATCAGCACCAAGAAAACAATTACTGAAGAAGTAATGCAGGGTGATGTAAAAAGCTATAGAATGCTCTTTGAAACCCAGCCACTCTATGCAATTCAAGACAGAGAAGGGTCCTATCACGAAGTAACCACAGTTAAAAAAGAAGAAGTAATTCATGGAGATGTACGAGGAACAAGGTGGCTTTTTGAAACAAAGCCATTAGACTCTATTAATAAATCAGAAACTGTGTATGTTATTAAAGCTGTCACAGAAGAAGACATTCAGAAGGGAGATGTTAGTTCTGTCAGATACAGGTTTGAAACTCAGCCACTGGATCAGATTTCTGAAGAATCACATAATATTGTGCCCACTGTTGACCATATACAAGGTGGCAATGTAAAGACAAGTAAACAATTCTTTGAGTCTGAAAATTTTGATAAGAATAACTATATACGAACAGTAAGTGTCAATGAAATACAAAAGGGCAATGTCAAAACATCTACTTGGCTATTTGAAACCCACACTATAGATGAACTGAGAGGAGAAGGGTTAGAATATGAAAATATCAAGACAGTCACGCAGGAAGATGTGCAGAAAGGTGATGTTAAGCAGGCTGTGTGGCTTTTTGAAAATCAAACTTTTGATTCTATTATGGAAGCACATAAAGGTGTCACAAAAATGACCAAGGAAGAAATCCCTCCTTCTGATGTCAAAACAACTACGTGGCTCTTTGAAACAACACCACTTCATGAATTTAATGAAAATAGAATAGAACAGATAGAAATTATTGGCAAGAGCATTAAAGAAACCTTAGAAGATCTCTACTCTCAAAAAGTTATCCAGGCTCCTGGAATCATCATTGAAGCTGATGAAGTTGGGGATGTTCGAATGGCAAAATACAAGCTAATGAACCAAGCATCTCCTGAGATACAGAAAGAAGAAATTATCAGGGCTGATCTCAGAAATATAATGGTGAACCTACTTTCCAAAAGGGACTATACTAAAAGAGAGATTTTGGTTAGTGAAGAAGAGAAGGGAAATGTTAATTTGACTAAAACTCAATTATTAAACAAATCAACTGAATTTCATGCTGAAAAAGAAGAGATAGTGAAAGGTGATGTACAACAAGCAATAAAAAACCTGTTCTCTGAGGAAAGATCTGTAAAGAAAGGCATCTTAATTCAGGAAGATGAAAGAGGAGATATTAACATGACTATCTATTGTCTTCTTCATGAAAATGGTGACACAATTGAGCGTGAAGAAGTAATAGGGGGTGATGTCAGACGTACCATTCATAATTTATTATCTTCCACATCAAACAATAAAATATCTGAAAGGGCTAAAATTGATGCCTCTGAGAGGGGAAATGTTCAGTTTTTCACAACCTGCATAGAAGCTGGAGCTTTGGATTATCTCAAACAACTCCACACAGAGTCAAATGAAACATTGACAGCTAAGAAACAAGAAGGAGAGAAAGAAATCATTGGTGGTGATGTTGAAGGCACAAAACTGTTACTGAAGAAAAAGCAGTCTCTGGTTGAACGTACTGTTAGTGAAACTGACATCATCCCTGGAGATGTGCATAATACAGTTAAGGTTTTTATGACTGAGCCTCAGAGTACACTTGGTAAGATACCCAAAGAAGAGATTATAAAAGGTGATTTGGCATCAACCCTAAATTCCCTCAGCCAGGCTGTAAATCAGAAAACAGTGACAAAAACAGAAGAAATTATAAAAGGTGACATGCTAGCCACACTCAAGTCACTTAAAGAATCAAGCCGTCGATGGAAAGAATCTAAACAACCTGATGCCATCCCTGGTGATATTGAGAAAGCTATTGAATGCCTTGAAAAAGCTACAAATACAAGGACAGAAATTCTGAAAAAGGAGCTTCTGAAAGATGACCTGGAAACATCATTAAGGTCTTTGAAAGAAGCACAAAGAAGTTTCAAAGAGGTAGATAAAGAAGGTGTAATCAAAAAAGAAGCTCACGTTGTGATGGCCGGATCCTCAGGAGAGCAGAAAACAGATATTCATCAGGTTGCTGTCCAGAGGAACAAAAATAGTCTTCTTCAGCCAAAGCCAGGACCCTTTGAGCCAGCAGCTGAGTGGCAAGGGGGAGCAGATACTCTCAGTCAAACTATGGGAAAATCTTGTCATGGCAATTTAGTAGAAGAAAGAACTGAGGTTAATCTTCCAAAAGCCCCCAAAGGCAGTGTAAAGATTGTCATAGATCGTGAACAAAACAATGATGCTCTGGAGAAAAGCCTTAGAAGACTATCTAATTCACACCATAAATCTATTAAAAATGTTTTGGAATCAGGAGACAAAATGGGTGTCTGGACTGATATCACAGGAGAACAGCATCTTAGAGATGAATATATGAGCAGACAATTAACTTCAACTGTATCAGTTAAGAATAATCTAAAAACTAAAGAATCAGACAGGGAAGTGAGAGAGCTGAAGAAGGATGATGACTTTAATTCCGTCCAATCTGCTGATAAAACCGTTGGAAAGCAACAGACATATGAACGGAGAAATGACCACCAGAAAACAGAGGCTTTTCATATAAAGAGTCCTGAAAAGACCGAAAATATTAAAATATTAACTGATACACAAAACTCCAAGCCCAGTCCCCCCCAGCATCCAGTCAGCATGCCAGTTGGAGGAACTTACAACATTTCAGGGGACTTTCAGAAGCAAACTTTGTTAAAGCAAGAAACAAAATATTCTAATAAGAACATAAAACAAAAGAATATAATCCTTCAACCCATGTGGCAGCCTTTGCCTGTAGAGCAAGACACAACCAATGTAACAGAAGTGAAAGTCTCTGAAAAAAATCACAATACATTTAAGACAACCAACGAAAAGCAGGAGACTGAAGTTCACTTGAAAAGCCAGGACTTTCTAATGAAGACAAATACTTCCACAGACTTAAACACGGCAATGGAAAGGTCCTCGAATCCAATCAACTTTAACCCTGAGAATAATGTAAAAGAAAGTGAGTGCCCCCTTCCACCTCCATCTCCACCTCCTCCACCACCTTCTAATGCATCATCTGAAATCGAATTTCCTCTTCCTCCTCCACCTCCTTTAATGATGTTTCCTGAAAAAAATGGGTTTCTTCCCTCACTGTCCACAGAGAAGATAAAGGCTGAATTTGAAAGCTTTCCAGGCCTCCCTCTTCCTCCACCTCCAGTAGATGAGAAATCTGAAAGAGAAAGTCCATCGATGTTTCTGCCGCCTCCTCCTCCTCCAACTCCATCTCAAAACCCAGCACATCTCCTTTCCTCCTCTGCTCCAGAAAAGCACAGTGGAGCCTTCATGCAACAATATTCCCAAAAAGAAGCCTCAAACTCTCAGAATTCTCAGGCTAAAATCATAACAGGAAAATCAGGTGTGTTGCCACCTCCCACATTGCCCAAACCCAAACTTCCCAAGCATATAAAAGATAATAAGAACCATTTCTCCCCCAAAGTTGAATTGACAAACTCCCTGTCAGATATGGAATGTAAAATTACTACCTCAAAGGATCATAAAAAAGTAATGATGATGACCAGCGGTGAACACACAGAGACAAAGCAGAACGTTATTAGTAAGAGTCTTGATGAAAGAAAACGATTATTTATTGACTCTGCAAACTGTCTCTCACACACAGTTCCAGGAACTTCAGCACCCAAGAAAAAACAGATTGCACCTCTTATAAAATCTCATTCATTTCCAGAGAGTTCAGGACAACAAAGTCCAAAACCTTATATGAGAAAATTTAAGACACCTTTAATGATTGCTGAAGAAAAATATAGACAACAAAAAGAAGAACTTGAAAAACAGAAACAGGAGAGTTCTTACTACAACATTGTTAAAACTGAAAGCCAAAATCAACACATATCAGAGATGGAAAAGGAAATGCCATTACGAAAATCCAATGAGGAGGTTTCCGTATCTGGAATTGATTCAGAGTGCACCGTGGTTCAACCCAACCCAGGCTCTCAAAGTAATGCTCGGGTACTAGGAGTGTGTTCTGATAACCAGCTCTCCGCAACATCGCCAGTGACAGTCACTGCCAAGAGGCTCAACCATGTTTTAGCAGCCTCAGAAGACAAAGATAAGATGAAAAAGGAAGTTTTACAAAGCACAAGGGACATTATGCAATCCAAATCAGCTTGTGAAATTAAACAAAGTCACCAAGAATGTAGTACCCAACAAACACAACAGAATAAGTATTTGGAGCAGTTGCACTTGCCCCAAAGCAAACCAATTTCCCCAAATTTCAAAGTTAAAACCATCAAGCTTCCAACTCTAGATCATACATTAAATGAAACAGACCACAGCTATGAAAGTCATAAACAGCAATCTGAGGTTGATGTTCAAACCTTTGCCAAACAACAGTATCTGGAAACCAAGAAAACTGAAGCAAGCACTGAATGTAGTCATAAGCAATCTCTGGCTGAAAGACATTACCAGCTACCTAAGAAGGAGAAAAGAGTGACAATAAAATTGCCTACAGAATCCATACAGAAGAACCATGAAGATAAGCTCAAGATAGTTCCTGGGAAGCAAAAAGAATTTGGGGGATCTGACAGAGGGAAACTTCCAGGAAGTGAAGAAAAAAATAAGGGACCATCAATGATTAGTCGAAAGGAAGAGAGATTAATAACTGAAAGAAAACAAGAAGTTTTGAAGAATAAATCAGCACCAAAGGTCGTTAAGCAAAAGGTTATTGATGCACATCTTGATTCACAGACTCAAAATTTTCAGCAAACACAAATACAGACCTCTGAAAGTAAAGCTGAACATAAAAAATGGCCCCAGCCATGTAAGAGTCTGCAGGAAGAAAAATGTCTCGAAGTCAAGGGCATACAACAGAAACAAGTCTTCTCTAATACTAAAGATTCAAAGCAAGAGATTACACAGAACAAATCTTTCTTGTCCGCTGTGAAAGAATCCCAGCAGGATGATGGAAAATGTGCCGTAAATATAGTGGAATTCTTGAGAAAACGTGAAGAACTACAACAGATTTTGTCTAGAGTAAAACAGTTTGAAGCAGAGCCAAATAAAAGTGGCCTTAAAACATTTCAGACACTGTTAAATACTATCCCAGGATGGCTGATAAGTGAAGAAAAGAGAGAATATGCAGTTCACATTGCCATGGAGAATAATTTAGAAAAAGTAAAAGAAGAAATAACACATATTAAAACTCAAGCGGAAGATATGCTTGTATCCTATGAAAATATAATTCAGACAGCCATGATGTCCTCCAAAACAGGAAAATCGGGCAATAAACCCACTAGTCTTGATGAAACATCATCCAAAGTATCTAATGTTCATGTCAGCAATAATAAAAATAGTGAACAGAAAGAAAATAAAATTGCCAAAGAGAAAACAGGACAGCACCAAGTAGCAGCTCATCGTGAAGCAACTGTTCATAGTCACGTGAAAACCCATCAGGAAATTAAACTCGACGAGAGCAACATTCCTCCTCCCTCTTTAAAAACACGCCCACCATCACCAACTTTTATCACAATAGAGTCTACTGTCCGACGAACGGAAACGCCTACCAAGGACGAGCTTTCTCAGTCCCCTAAAAAGGACAGTTATGTTGAACCCCCGCCAAGAGGACCCATGTCGCAAACATCTGAAATTCACAGAGCAAACACTTCCCCTTCTCCACCTAGGAGTCGCTCTGAACAACTTGTCAGACTCAAAGACACCACTGCAAAGTTATCCAAAGGGGCCATCCCATGTCCAGCGGTCACCCCGGTTCCAATTGTAGAGAAGAGGTCTGAAATCATCATGTCTCCTGCAACACTTCGTCGTCAAATTAAGATAGAAACTCGTGGTAGGGACTCTCCACCTACAATCACAATACCAGTAAATATACATCATACTGCTAGTGGTTCCTCCAGAGAATCTATGGAAGCTCAAGAGGAAATCAGGAAAGTGGAGAAAAGGGCTACTTACGTTCACAATGCTGGACTCAATTCCACTGATCCCATAGTGCCCGACACTGAAAGCTATGATGCAGTTGAAATCATCCGCAAGGTTGAAGTGCCTCGTCGCCTGTCAGAGCACACACAGAGATATGAAGCAGCCAACCGCACTGTTCAAATGGCTGAAAATTTCGTGAATGACCGTGAAAATGAAATAAACAGATGGTTCAGGGAATTTGAGCATGGCCCAGTTTCTGAAGCAAAGTCAAACAGAAGAGTTTACGCAAATGGAGAAACAAACCATAATATACAACAAGAAAGTCGTACGTTTTGTCAGGAGGAATTTGGATTAACGTCTTTAGGAAACATGAGTTTTACAGATTTTTCTTGCAAACATCCTAGAGAGCTGCAAGAAAAGATTCCTGTTAAACAGCCCAGGATCTGCTCTGAAACAAGGTCCCTAAGTGAACATTTCTCAGGCATGGATGCATTTGAGAGTCAAATTGTTGAGTCAAAAATGAAAACCTCTTCATCACATAGCTCAGAAGCTGGCAAATCTGGCTGTGACTTCAAGCATGCCCCACCAACCTACGAGGATGTCATTGCTGGACATATTTTAGATATCTCTGATTCACCCAAAGAAGGCAGAAAAAATTTTCAAAAGACGTGGCAGGAGAGTGGAAGACTTTTTAAAAGCCTGGGATATGCAACTTCAGATTCTTCTGCAACTGAGATGAGAACTGCCTTCCAAGAGGAATCTGCATTTATAAGTGGTAAATGAGCTTGCAACGTGTTAAAGAAGATTAACCATTTAAAGCCATGTGTTCCGTAGCCAAAATGATGTGCAGTTAAAGAGTGTGTGGAAATAACCAAACAATATAACCTGAAACTAACACCTTCCCATGTATGCTTGTATACTCTTTACATGCTTGCTTTTACAACTTTATTTTCACAAAAGCATATATTATGATTTACTTGCACTGTGTGAGAATAACAAATACTATTATAGAGATTACTGAGACGTATTTGTCAAGGTAAATAAGGCTTTGGATAAAGCAACAGGTATAGCAATAATTTTATTTCATGCAATTATACTAGACAAAAATAATATCCCTTGACCTAATATTGACATATTTTTTACTGCCAGGTTTAAATGATCTTTGCATTGAGTCCAGTACAGACTGGTAGAAGTCCAAGACACAATTTACATTCTTCATGTGTGCTTTAGTATTTTTATTGGTCTGTATCTCTGACAAAAGTGTTAAGTGTGGAATGAGACCTTTTATATATCCAACTATTGTTACTGAATTTAATAGAGTTAGTTTTCTCTGATGCCATATTTTTTAACTGATTTTTTCACTTTTCTAAAAAATAAACTCTAAATCACGCTCAATCAACCTCATTCACAAATGAGCATAAACAATACATTTTAAAATTTTGATTTTATTTGGAAAGAGGGAGGTTTAAATCATATGAACTTAGTACATAATTTTGAACATCAAAGAACAGCTCATTTCCCTACTTCTTGCAATTAATGAGGCTTCATGATAAAAGAATTTTATATAATTAATGTGCATCATTAGTTTAGTCCATTCTTTTAGACAGATTGGAAGAAATAGCAAGCTTAAAAATAAAAACTACTGAAACTAATAATTATGCATCCATCATATTTGCAACATATGTGTCTAGTTTATCAGGTTAATATCATTCTTAATGTGCTAGCTTCTGGCATAATTAAGCAAAGCTGTCTAATTAATTTCAAATGCTCAGCTTCTGTTAAGATAGCTAAAAAACACATAGAACATACAAAGAAACTTGTGATAAACATAAAAATATGTCCTCTACTAGAACCAAATAAGCAAAGGAGTTCTCTCAGTGGCCCAGATTGACCATCTAGGCACTGAAGTAGATATAATTATTTGTATAATGGACCCTGAGCATATTTGCTCTTATAAATAACTAATACCAAAGCTTAGTCATTCTCACAGGTTTGCTGGGAGGACAAAAAGCAATTGTGAAGTGAAAGTTCTGTGTTAGTTTTAAACCACTATACAAACACTGGTTAGTAATAGAACCACTGTTATTCATAGGGGCTAACATTTACATGAAAGCCACAGGAAGTGAGCATAGGTGCTTTAGAGGAGCAAGAAAAGATGTAGGAAAACTATATAAGCAGATGCGAGAATCCAGAAAGCTCCACAATCTAAAGCCAGTTAGATTGAGGACAAATGACCCTGAGCATTTTAATGTATTCAGGAGTCTCATTGCATTACAGTTAAGAGTTGGTATTTTACAGTCAACTCTAAGTCATCAAGAAAATATTGAAGCAAATACGATGTCCTTGGCTTAAAAGCGTATGTATATATTTTAGAAAGATCTATCTAAAATGTTTTAAGAAGTAAAAACTTTTGACCAGGTTAGGTACAAGCCTTTATATATAGGGAAAACTCAATTATCTAGAATGATAAGTTCTCTCAGAGCTACCCATTGCTGAGTATTATATATAGATGTATATTATATACTCACATATATGCACATATATATCTTTTTAATGTACTTACATGTCTAATGAACATATTTTACTCATGTATGTTTTTTTTAAATTATAAATGTCTACTCATACAATCTATAAATGGTAGAGGCACTAGAGTAATGTAGACTATCCTACCAGACCCTTAAACCTGATGATAGGTTAGTCTCTGTCCAGAGAAGCACCATAAGGACAATAGTCTTAGAGCTTTTCCACTTTAACCGCATGGCCAGTTAATATGTTGTTTTGTTTTATTATGTTTTTACAATATGATTGAAGATAACACTACAGAAGCCTTTTTAAATTTTAATTTTAGAAACTGCTGCTCCAAGACAAGGAAATATGTATACTTTGTCAAAAGACAGTTTATCCAATGGAGTGCCTAGTGGCAGACAAGCAGAATTTTCATAAGTCCTGTTTCCGATGCCACCATTGCAACAGTAAACTGAGGTAAAATGTTTAATTGTCTTTGCCACAAATATTCTAGGAGACTACAGTATACGTATAACCTCGTATCTCTAGGAAGATGCACATTTTTCCAGATCTTGCTGCTGCATCAGTTAACACAACCACACAGAGGGATTTGCTCATGTTCTGTTAGGTATTTCTGTGACCTTTTTCCTTAGGAATTTTACTTTTCTAATCAAATCTAAAGGATCCCTTTTGTCCAAACACAAAAATCACACAGATGAATAAAATTAAGAGTTACTCTGCAAATCAAGATTTTTAAGTTAGTGTGTTAGTGTAAAGTCTAGACTCTAGATCAGGGGGTAGCAAACATTTTCTGTTAAGAGCTAGATCATAAGTAATTTTGGCTTTGCAGGCCATACTGCTTCTGTCACTACTCACTTTCTATTAGCGTGCAAGAGCAGCCACAGATGACTAAACAAATGGGTGTGGTTGTAAATAAATGGGCTTGGCTGTGTTTCAATAAAACTTCATATACGAAAACAAGTGGTGGGTAGGTTAGAATTTACCTGTCTTTGAGCTAGACTAAGTTTTTAAAAATGAAATTGAAATTTAGAAAAAATATCAGTGACAGGTAAGAGAAAAACTCCGTTTTTTCTCTGGAGCAAACAGAAACACCCTATCCACACAGTTAAAATGCATTCCTTTTCCAAAACTCTTGAAGTAAATGCATTTAACTGAATGTGACATTTGGTGTGACTGTAGTCTGAGATGCTAAAATTGATTTTTTTTTTTTTTTTGCTAAATCTAATGTGCATCTCTCAGACTATATTTTTTCTGACTTTAATTGACAATGTCTAACACCCTCATGGCAACATTCTTTTCCCTTGGTTTCCATGACAACAGAGTATAATGGCTTTCCCCCTACTCTTTGGGTGCTCCTTCTCAGGCACCTGTGTGGGGGACTCTCTGTCCATTACCGAGATGTAAGAGGTCCTCACAATTATGTTATGGGAATTTATTCTTCTCAATGTTTCTCTTCCTTCTAGTGAATCACATCCACTCCCATTATTTAAATAATCTATGTGGTAATGACTCTGAAGTCTGTACTGCTAGGCCAAATCTCTCTGTGCATCAGATGCTTAGGTCTTAATGACTGATATACTTCTCCAACGAGATTTCTCATAAGTACAGCAAACTCAATATGTCCCATTTTCTTCTATCTAAATTCCTTCTTTAATTGTACAGTCTTTATGCTACTGTATCAGTGAATGACATTAACATTAACTCAGTGACCAAAGCATGAAGTTATCTTTGACTCCTTCCTCTCCTTCATTCCCTACATTCAAGCCATCACCAAGTCCTGCAATTTCTGCCCCATAAATACCTCTTAAGCTATATACTTTTCTCCATTCCTATAGCAAGTATCATCTGTTAGCACCACTAATTTCATTATCAAAACATTTAAAAATTACATTTGTCCTCCCCATTTTATAAATTATTGTACCACATCTTCAATTTCAGATCATATAGCCACTACATACCATGTTATGTCCCTTTTTGCTCTAATTTCATCTTAGTTTTCTGATTGCAAGATATTAATGCCCACCAACCAATGCTTACCTTGATGTTTCTGCAGTTGTTCTGATATTAAAGCTTGCTTTCTAGTGGACTCTTCAAAAAAAGCTCTCATGGAAACAGTATTCACTGAATTCTTACATGCTGATAACAATTTGTCTGTGACCTTTATAACAAAAAGTCAGTTTTGCTGAAATTAAAATCTTTGGCTTACACTTTTTTTCATTGTATTATTTGATACATTATTTTATTTTCTTCTGGAATAAAGTATTGGAATAGCCTGATAACAATCCAATTTTCTGTTCCTTATAAGACCTGTATTTTTTCTTAAAGATACCCATGGATTTTTTCTTTTTTTTTTTGAGATGGAGTCTTGCTCTGTCGCCGAGGCTGGAGTGCAGTAGTGCGATCTCGGCTTACTGCAAGCTCTACCTCCCGGGTTTATGCCATTCTCCTGCCTCAGCCTCCCGAGTAGCTGGGACTACAGGTGCCCGCCACCACAGCCAGCTAATTTTTTGTATTTTTAGTAGAGACGCGGTTTCACGTGTTGGCGAGGATGGTCTCGATCTTCTGACATTGTGATCCACCCGCCTCGGCCTCCCAAAGTGCTAGGATTACAGGCGTCAGCCACCGTGCCCAGCCTTTTTTCTTTTTATTATTTAAAATCTAGCAATTTTACTAGACTAGTTCTTGGCATTGGTTATTCATCACTAGTGTCAGTTACCCAGTGTGCTCTTTCCATATGTTGTTGCATACTTTTTGTATGCAAGAGTTTGTTTTAATTATAACTATTTAATATTTAATCTGTTTCATTATATAATTTTTTTCTTCAGGAATTCCTATTATCTATACCTTGAATGTTTTTTGCCTATTTTTAATATCTGTCTCTTTCTCTCAAATTCTTCTTATATTTCTTTCTTTCTGATTGTTGAAAAAGTTATGTTTTCATTCTGTTTCTCTTAAGTCACTTTTTATTGTGTTTATTTGCTCTTGTATTTCTTTTAGTTTAGTTTTGTTGCTGATATTTTTACCTTTTATTTCTATTTTTTCCTGATTTCTGGCACCTGACTTATGAGATTTTAAATTCTGATTCATGATGTTCTTTCAGGTCTTTTGTCATGTTCTTAATGTCTTTTAACTCATTTTGAAGTCATAGGTTACATTTTTGATATATTTTTAGAGCATGTTTTTCTGGCATGTTTTCATTATCTACAGGGATATTATAATGCCCTTTGCACTTTTATTTTCTTTTAGTAACTTCGTATATTATTTACCTTGTTACATTTCTGTTGCTCATTTTTATGTAAAATTAGTTTTCCCAAACCTTAGAAGGATGAAAATCAGGATGGTTTTTCTAACTTCACAGAGCTACCTCTTTTAGTTTTCATATACTGACCATGAAAATAACGCAGCTTGATTTCTAGAATTCCCTGGCTTGGCTGCTCTTCTCCATATTTATCAGAACCTTCTCTTTCATTTCTGTAATCATTATCCTGCTCAATCTTGATTCCACTCTCCTATTTTTTCTCACTTTGGGATTCTGTTTAAAAGGGGAGCCCAGTCTTGAGAGTTCAACCTCACTAGCCTCATTGTCTGTTGGAGAGGACAAACCTCCTCGCAGTTTCAGCTGCTGTTCTCTGATTGGCATGTGATACTTTCCAGGAAATATTAGTTGGTTATTTTGTGGTCTCATATTTTCAGGTCCATCAGACATCTTCCTTGCTCCCTCTGCTATCACCAATACAGATGAGACCATCATGCTGGTCTTGTGTCTGTTGGTGTTTTCTCCTTAGTTCTTTGTATATTGAAGCTGAGGGGGCTACCTTGTCACTTCATTTTGTTGCAAATGTTACTTATGGGTTTTAAGTTTTGCTATCTTGTTGATGTATCTGTTTTTATGTGTAGATTCATAGATATTCAAAACTATGCTCCTACCTCTGACTAGAGTTCATTTTAATTGTAAATCACTCAATTTGTTAACTGCCTTAAAGAAGCCACATAAGCAATTGTTAGGCACGCCTTCCAGCTCATTCAAAATCCAGTTAACAAAGAAGCTCATATAGTTGATTTGTATGTGTTTGCTACTCAGGATTTATTGGAAATTACAACCCCTCACATACATCATTGAATTAGCACGAGTTCAGTCCTATCATTCTGCACCGTCTATAACTATATGTGCATTACCCTATAATACCTATTATGCCATTACCTGACACACAAAGTAAAATTCTAAACACTGCAAGACATACACCATACAAAGTACTAGTGGTAATATTATCTAACAGAAATGTTCAACTAATAGCGTCATTCCCATTGCTAGTAACTTAAGTTTACTAGTCTGTAACTCATTGAAATAATCCCCAATTCCCTATGAATTTACAATAAATACAAAGTGCTAAGTGTTCTTTTCTTTTTGGCAGTTTGGGAAATTATGCATCACTTCATGGACAAATATACTGCAAACCTCACTTTAAACAACTTTTCAAATCTAAAGGAAATTATGATGAAGGTTTTGGACACAAGCAGCATAAAGATAGATGGAACTGCAAAAACCAAAGCAGATCAGTGGACTTTATTCCTAATGAAGAACCAAACGTGTGTAAAAATACTGCAGAAAACACCCTTGTACCTGGAGATCGTAATGAACATTTAGATGCTGGTAACAGTGAAGGGCAAAGGAATGATTTGAGAAAATTAGGGGAAAGGGGAAAATTAAAAGTCATTTGGCCTCCTTCCAAGGAGATCCCTAAGAAAACCTTACCCTTTGAGGAAGAGCTCAGAATGAGTAAACCTAAATGGCCCCCTGAAATGACAACCCCTCTATCCCCTGAATTTAAAAGTGAATCTCTGCTAGAAGATGTTAGAACTCCAGAAAATAAAGGACAAGGACAAGATCACCTTCCTTTTTTGCAGCCTTATCTACAGTCCACCCATGTTTGTCAGAAAGAAGATGTTATAGGAATCAAAGAAATGAAAATGCATGAAGTAAGAAAAGATGAAAAGAAGGAAGGAAGGAAGAATGTGCAAGATAGGCTGAGTGAAGCTGAAGATACAAAGAGTAACAGGAAAAGTGAAATGGATCTTAATGACAACAATAATGTGGTTGTGCAGAGTGCTGAAAAGGAGAAAAATGAAAAAACTAACCAAACTAATGGTGCAGAAGTTTTACAGGTTGCTAACACTGATGATGAGGTGATGCCAGAAAATCATAAAGAGAATTTGAATAAGAATAATAATAACAATTATGTAGCAGTCTCATATCTGAATAATTGCAGGCAGAAGACATCTATTTTAGAATTTCCTGATCTATTACCCTTGTCGAGTGAAGCAAGTGACACTGCAAATGAATATCAAATCGAGAAGTTAGAAAATACATCTAGAATCTCAGAGTTACTTGATATATTTGAATCTGAGAAGACTTACTCGAGGAATGTACTAGGAATGGCTCTGAAGAAACAGACTGACAGAGCAGCTGCTGGCAGGCCTGTGCAGCCTGCTCCAAAACCAAGCCTCAGCAGGGGCCTTATGGTAAATGGGGGAAGTTCAATCATCTTTCCTGATACAAATCTCTTAAACATTAAAGGAAGCCATTCAAAGAACAAAAATTTACACTTTATCTTTTCTAACACTGTGAAAATCACTGCATTTACCAAGAAAAATGAGAACATTTTCAATTGTGATTTAATAGATTCTGTAGATCAAATTAAAAATATGCCATGCTTGGATTTAAGGGAATTTGGAAAGGATGTTAAACATTGGCATGGTGAAACAAAAGAAGCTGCCCACAATAATGGAAACACAGGTTTTGATGCCCTGAGCCATGAATGTCCAGCTAAGCCTTTGTTTCCCAGAGTGGAGGTGCAGTCAGAACAACTCACGGTGGAAGAGCAGATTAAAAGAAATAGGTGCTACAGTGACACTGAGTAAAATATCTCGGCCACTGACCGTCCACACTTAGGCACTGAGAGATTTTGATGTTCTGAAATAAGATTTTATGAATTTGGATACCCTTTTGAGGAACTTGATGTAAACATAATGTTCAGAAATCTCGTGTCTGTCTCAATGGCATATTTCTTGTATTACACCTTGTCATTTTTTTTCATAATTTATTTACCTCTACTTTTGTTTTAAATGGAATGAAGAGGTGAAACACTATGGATATGTTTTCCATTCAAATGGCACTTTAGCATATTGTTCTGTTTTCCTATAAAACATCATGGGTGTGATTTTTATACTGCTGATACTTGTCACAATTATTATACCTTCTCTGTAATTTCCGCTGAAATAAAATTGAATCACATGAGGTGCAAACCAAAATACTTCTGTAACTTTTTTCAATATATACTGTCATTCTAAGTACATATACTCTTTATGACTTGGGAAGTATTTGTCTTGAGGCAAGTATTTACCACACACACTAAAATAATGCTGGAAAAAAAAATAGTAAACTGAAGGCACAGTATTATTAGAAAGCATAACATTTTCATTTTCTTTTTTACTCTACATTTTAAAGATATGAGGGTTATTGTTCTTGAAATAATTACCTACATTAAATTATCACAGAATGTATCTATAAACATTTAATGACAATGTTGATTTTCCTCCATAATAATGTGAATCCATACTCAGAAATTAACTAGAAAGGTTATAGACGTTACTTAAATAAATTATGCACATTTGTATTGCTTACTCTGTGTAGTTGATAAGTATAACAATCGTATCACTACAGTTTGTCAGGTTTTCTTCTTATTATATTTGATGAATATTAAGTTTTTCTGTCATGAAAACATATTCCTTTAAAATTTGGCTTCTAAATTTTCTACTGCCTTTGTTCTTCCTCAAATTTTATGATTCTGAAAAAAAAATGAGCATAAATAAGTGGCTTTGCATAAATTTGGAGTGTACATATATGAAACGGGCCTTATCCCATATTCTCCTACATAAACACAAACCATTGACATTCTATAAGTATAAAACCAAAATGCAGTGTTGAAAACTATTTCTTTTTAGAAAGACTTACAAATTCCCTCTTGCTAGCATGTTCTTAATAGATATCTAAGACCTACATTGCATTAGTTCCCTAGGGCTTCCATAATTAAATATCACAGACTGGGTAGCTTAAGCAACAAAAATATATTTTCTCACAGTTCAGAAAGCTGGAAGTACAGGGTCAAGTTGAAGGCAGGGTTGGTTTCTCCTGAGACCTCTCTCCTTGGCTTGCCAATGGTCACCTTGTTGAGGTCCACACATGGTCTTTCCTCTGTGCACTCATGCTCCTGGTGTCTCTTTCTCTTCTTATAAGAGTACCAGTCCTTTTGGACTAGGAACCACTCATTGGACTTCATTTAACCTTACTTGCCTTTTTAATGAATATGTTTCCAAATACAGTCACATTGGGGCTCAGGGCTTCAACATATGAGCTTCGTGGGAACACAATTCAGTTCATAACATATACTTTTACCCAATTAAATGAAATACTATGAAAGTCTGGCAAGGAAATGGCCAGAGCTACAACAGCAAATTTTTTGTTTAAAATGAATTATTGCACTTTACACTACTCTTCAAATATTCTGCATGACACAGCATTATTTCTATAATCATTTATGCTAAGATAACACAATAGTTTCCATGGAGAAAGAAATAATTCGTGAAAACTCGTGACATAGTATCTTACTGTATAGTATAGTTTCTTAGTGTCAGTGATCCTTATAAAGAATGTACTCTTGCTTTACAAAATTCCTCTTGTTGGATTCTTCCCACTTAATCTTGGTAGCCTAGTTCTCTCTTCAGTTATGGTAAAATTTAAGATTAAAAGTAGCTGATGTGCACACCAGGGAAAACAATGAAAACAATGATTGTTCTGATTTTTCATTTAATCAACAAGCAATTTTGTGCCCTCATCTTTAAAAAAAAAATTGTGTGGGTACATAGTAGGTCTGTATATATTTATGCGGTACATGAGATGTTTTGATGTTGGCATGCAACGTGAAATAAACACATCACGAAAAATGGTGTATCCATCCCCTCAAGTATTTATCCATAGAGTTTCAAATAATCCAATTATACTCCTTAAATTATTTAAAAATGTACAGTTAAGTTATTATTGACTATAGCCACCCCATTGTACTATCAAATAGTAGGTCTTATTCATTTTTTCTAATTTTTCATACCCATTAATCATCCCCCTTTCCCCCCACTACCCTTCCCAGCCTCTGGTAACTATCTTCTACTTTCTGTGTCAGTAAGTTCAATTGTTTGATTTTTAGATCCCACAAATAAGTGAGAACATGTGATGTTTGTCTTTCTGTGCCTGGCTTATTTCACTTAACATAATGACCTCCAGTTCCATCCATGTTGTTGCAAATGACTGGATATCATGCTTTTTTATGGCTAAATAGTACTCCATTGTGTATATGTACCACATTTTCTTTCAAGAAAACTTTTTTAAAAATTTTTTCATCAGAAAGGGGCATTGTGTTATAATTATTGGCTGCATCACCTTTCTTGAATAACATGTAGGCGTTTACAAATTCAAATATGCAAACACAATTTTATTTAGTAATGATTTCTCTCTAATTATAACAAAATCTTGCATCTAAATAGCAAGCTTTAAGAACTAAAATGTAGCTAAACACACAAATCAAAAATTCAGTGAAGTTTTCTTATTGTTGCAATCAGTGTATTGTTTGTCTACAGTTTCCATAACTAAGTACCACAGACTGAGTGACCAAACAGAAATTTATTTTCTCACAATTCTGGAAGTTAGAAAAGTCTGATATCAAGGTGTCGGCCAGCTTGGTTTCTTCTGAGGCCTCTCTACTTGACTTGTAGATGGTCATCTTCTTTCTGTGTCTTCACATGGTCTTCCTCTATATGTGTCTATGTTCCAGTTTCTTCTTACAACGTTCCAACTCATATTGGAGTAGGGCCTAGCCTCATGACCTCATTTTACTTTAATTACTTCTTGAAAGACCCTATCTCCATAAAGAGCTGCATTCTGAGGTACAGTGGCTTAGGATTTCACCATATGAATTTGTGGGGAACGCAATTCATCCCATAACTGGTAGTAACCAGGTTTAATCTTTAGGGTTTTTAAAAAAATACTTGGCTATTAATGTTATTTAACAACTTCCCATAATCTTTACTTGGGATTTACATCACAGAACTATGTAATACATAAATTTATGTTGTAAAAACTAATATTTCCATAAACAAAATTCTGTTATAAAGGAATGAAGATGGATCCATGATTGACCAAAACCTGTTCCACAGGAGGCTGTGTGCTGTCAGAGCATAGCATGTAAGGGGTTTTGCATTATTTAATCAAAACTGGACCTTCCAATGAATCTTGTAAAAATGTTCTATTTCCCAGAAAATTGTGCTGAATTGTCCTTTTTGCAGCTTCCACACAATCAATCCTTGCAACAGATTTGGGGCTCTGGGCAATACATTCTTTGGATTGGGACAATGGTTTTCTCACAGCAATGCGTTCTTTGGATTGGGACAATGGTTTTCTCAAATTACAATAAAACTGACAAATGCAAACTTACCACCCATTCCCTAATGCACAACCATTTTATGCGTTGGGAGTATTTTCTCCCAAACTAACAATTTTCTATAAACATCTCTAGAATAATTTCTAAAGACACATTACTTTTTCAAGAAACTGAAAAATAGAAAAACAATACTTTCTCTGCTGTGTTTTGATAGTTACTGACTACTGGTTACTATCCAATTGGGAAATGGAATTTTTTTTATTGCCAAGAAAATGAACTTATAGAAAGATAATCACAGATGTTAAAGTAAAAGAGAAGTGCAATACATTTTGTTCTTCCTGGAAACGTTACTGAGAACTGAGAGTGATTTCTAAATCTAATGTAAAAGTTTTGAATTCTGAAGGTATTAATGATAATATGAAATCTTAGGTTAAAAACATCAGATGTAATGGAGATCAGAAATAGGCAACAGATACAATATTTATGTTCAAAATAAGAGCCATGAGAACATATGAGAAGTGCTGAAGAGTACTAAGCCTCAACCCTCTAGAAATTAATAGAAGACGTGAAATATTTTTTGGTAAATATAGTCTAAAAATAATTTAACCTCAACAATGATGGAGCCCTTTAAAAGTCTAATTTAAGCTACCAGACATTTACTGTGGATGTTTTTCCCAAAAGATACTATGAGAAATTTTAAAACTTTATATATTTGTATGCAAATGAAGTGGTAGAGGGAAGATAACCTAGAATATCTACAGTGTGGTCATTTTCCTCAACATAGTACCAATTTATAGAAAATAAAATGGATGGAAAATGGATAGAAAGGCTATGGCATCACCCAGTCAACAGCCATTCCACAAACATTTATGGGACCATTTGAATGCATTGGAAGAGTGATTAAGAAAACAATAGATAAATTATGGTATTTTTTGTGTAAAGCTCTCAGACAAGGAAGAGGCATTCAAAACATAAAACGAAATAACTCAGTACGGTTAATGCTTATGAATGTAGGAAACCCAAGAAAATGGATAGCCACCAAGTCTTGTTAAATTGGAAGACAGCAGAATAATAGTAAACAGGTGGAAAAGTGTTTTAGGTTTAAATAATCAGTCTTCACTTTATCATAATTTACTTAGTTGTAATTAAGTGATTGCAGATTCTATGATACACAATCAAGATTCCTCTTCAGGAATGATTTACTTCCACAAATGATCGAAGTGCTGGCCCCAGAAAGGCATTAACTGTCAGCTCTCTGCCAAGATTGCTTTAGCTAAAATCACTGACTTTCCAAAGTGGACTGTTTTCATTTTTTATCAATGGAAGGACAATTCAGCACAACTCTTAAGGCTCACTCTCGCTCCAGCTCAAAACTCCCTATAGAATTGACTTAGGCCTCCCTTGAGGGTGCATCTCAGGTCAGCTTCTGTCCAGTCATGCTTCTTTCCCTTCCCTTTCTTTCCCTTGATACCAACAACGTGCTCTGATAAACCTCCGACACATTAATCTCTGGCTCAGAATCTACTTCTTGGATAACCCAACCTGGATCAACTGGTATTAGGAGTGACCCAAAAAGCAGAGACTGGAATGGTATCTTGGAGCTGAATTCTTTTCTGCCTGGCTGGCAATGGGCACAAGGTGGCAGTGCGATTGTTAAAATTCTCAGCAGTGGTACACTAGCATGACTTTACTGGGTGAAGCAAATGCCTAGCTGGTACCATGTATCAAATATCTGAGACATGTAGGGAAAATAGCGATTACGAAGAAAGTGGAACTCGGAAGTCATTGCTAAATGCTGAGAAAAAAATTAACAAAAAGACG